GTCAGGCTCAGACAGACGTGCTTTGTGTTTAAAAAGAAAATTGAAATGTTAAGCCAGATGAAGAAGCTAATCTCAGCACATAGCAGCAGTACCTAATGGGTATTCTCCCCAAGTTGCGAAGATCACGCAGAGGATTTCATTTACAGGTCAGTGTGGGAGAAGATGCAGCAGGCGCGCCAATTCCGTTTCTGTTTTTAAACGTCTATGGAAGCAGTCAACACCTGCACGCGTGCAGAATCTCACACCAGCTATATGGGATTCATATACATTCATGGCACAAGGGCAGAAGGGGGGGGGGGCATTTATAAAGTAGGAGGGGATACACGTCCAGCATAGTGCTTTATTGAAGACCCGACAAACTCAAAATGGTGTGTTTGTGCAAGGCGGGGGATTATATCACCACCTGCAAGTCAAATGACGGAAAAGATGAGAGTGAAAATATCAGTTTGCGCATCCAGCAAGTTCCGACGAGCCGCATCTTCTTCCGTGTGCACTTTTGGTTTCAATGACTGGCCAACTTATTGGTGTTTAAGAGCATGGAGTGAACACATGATACTGCAAAACACCTTGGGATTAACACACCCAAACAGCTGCTGGGTTGACTTGATCAGGCACTTACGGACCTGCAGTAGTTTAACTAAAAATGTGTTAACAGCAACAGTTTGAGTAGAGGATGCTGAGGTGGCTCACTTTCATTCCACTTGTGGAGAGACGTGCGAGTAGGAGCCTGGGATCATAACACGGCTGTACATGGCAGCTTACAGCCTCCATGAACTTCAACCAGCTCTGGTTTCAATGGGGCCCAGTTTCAACGACCGGACTTGCTAAGTAAGAGGATTTGGCCTAAAAATAGCTCTCCATACTCAACACACTCCACACATTCTAGCAAAGGAAGAAAAAAAGCACCACAGCATTCAGGCATTTGAGAAAAAGATCTTTATTTTTTATAAAAAACAGTATTGCCAGTTACATATTTTAATGAAAAAAACCTGCAACTTTAAGAGCAAAGGCAAAAAGATAAAGGTTTCAATATGATTTAACTTACATTAGCATCGCAAGAATGAAACGCAGGATGAAAATTAAAAACAAACATGATTTGTCTTTTGCCAGTTTTGTCTAAAAAGAATAAGCTGGAAAATGTTCAGAATCAACAGATTGCATAAGCTCTTAAACCAAATCCCCAGACCAACAGCCCCCAAAATCAACAGTATCAAAATGCTTAAATGAAATTAAAAAAAAAAACAAAAAACATATATACTTAAATGTGCATTTTACTCAAATTAGATCCAAAAATCGGGTCTCCGCAAATCATTGATTTGGGGGCGGGGGGAAAAAAGTCCCCTCAAATTTCAAAGCACATTTCAAAGCAACAAATCAAGGGTCAGTTGCCTCAATCCCATTCCTCTCTACCCAAAATGTAGTGGGATTATGACTAGTCTTCCAAAAGCCCCCAATCTCACATTAGTAACTGATACATAGGCAATTCCACAGTTTTGCCGTCAGCATTTGTGCAGTACTGCTTAGTAGCAAGTATATTCTGTAGTGTAAATCCTACAAGTATAGCACGTTCTGACCTTTGTGCAGCATTTATATGCTTTAGTGTTAAATTCACCCTTGCAAGTTACTTGACCTTTTGCACAGCTGTACAATATTCCTTTTTAATGCTATAATCTTTACGTGTTCATTTCTAAGCATGTAGACAAAGACAAGAGCCTTTGCTTGTGCACACAGGTGCAAGGACCAGGATCATTATAGTGGCTATAATCGTACGGAGCTTGACACATACAAATAAATTAATTCGGGGATTGGGGAGGAGGGGGTTAATAAAAAGGTCCAAAAGTTCAAAGATCCTCCCAAGAAGGTACAACAGCAAAAGTTGGAAATACGTTTACACAAAACTGGTCCATTTTAAAACGACATTCCTGCACTGCCCTCCCTGACCTCCGACACTTCAGGATTCTTAAAGATGTACTGCCTGTTCCCTAACACAAGACCTCGGACACATCAGCACCAGCAGCAGGGGCTTGAACTCATTCTACATCACAAAGAGCGCAGTGGAAACCAACCAGTAACCAAAAGTCACTGCTATTCTCCCTATAGCTCCCTATATCCTCAGTGCCTTTTATAATCAGTGACCCCTGTTAAAACAATGTAACAAAGCCAGAAGAGATTACATTAACTGTATACAAATACATATTTTTAACCTATGGGAAGGGGGGAATGTACATTAAACCCAACACTTACCAAACCATACTTCTGCTAGTAATTTAGGTCAGCTAGCTAAGACTAACTCAATTACAAAAGTTGATTTTTTTTTTTAAAACAATGAAATCCACCTGAAGATATTAAGTATTTGATGGGGAAGCATTTACGGAAAGAATTTTAAAAAATGCCACTTTCTGTTTTTTTTTTTTTTTTTTAATTATTTAATAAACTCAAGATGTGTTGTTTCTATGGCAGCCAGTCTGACACAGGAGGAAGCAGACTTGAAGGTTTGGCAGAGGTATGGATGACTAACCTGTACATCGACATCCGCATGGCGGAGGCACAAGAGATGGAAGACCTATTCTTGAACACAAAAAAAATAATTCACTTTCAAATACGTCTGAAAATCGATTGTAATTCAGGCTAGGTGGAGTAATCATGCAATTAAGAACAAAACAGTGGTATTACATATCCACTGAGTATCATTAGCAATAACAAACAGTGATTGTCAGAAGGTAACCTCTTTCATGGCATCGTAGGCATTGCCATTATATGTCTGATCACCACAGCTGTGGGCCAGATTCCTGCCGCTCTCTTTGGACAGACAATAAACCCCCATCCTCTTTCCCACCCAAAAATCACCTCATTCTTATTTATGGAGGGGGGGGGAAAAAAAAAAAAAAAAAACAGAAAGGGCATTTTTTTGAGACGAACAAGAATCCTCATGCCGGGGCAAATGAGTTGGTTCTCAGCAACAAGCAAGAATTTTTAACCCCTAAAGGCTGAAGGAGAAAACTGAAGAGGAAAAAGTAGTTTTGGGAAAGCTGGTTTTTAGGTCATAATGAGAAACTGGAATGCGAGTACAGGGGAAATCACATGACGCATCAGGGTTCAACTCCTTAAGACATCCCTAGCATTCGGTATTCATCTTGGGGGGGTTGTGGCCAGACAGACACTGCAGCTGAGACCTACCTAGCTGACACTCTGCTAAGCAGGAGTGCTACTAGGGCAGTGACGAGCAACTGAGGCAGCCTGCGGTTCCTGGCTGCGCCCAAGGTGAGAAGAATAAAAGCAAAGGATGTTATGTGTGGGTGGGCAGGGAAGGGGGTCCACCGGTTGTCCTTTCGGGTGTCGATTCTTGCTCAGCAACAGTGGGAGGGAACAGGCCGCTCTCCCCGAGCGATGCAGACAATCAGTTTTTCTGCAGCAAAAAGGAGCATTTGCTTAGCATCACGCCAGGTTAACACAAGAAAAGACGCACACTTATACAGCGACTCACAAGTGCTTCAACGGGACCCACTGGTTAAATTACGACAAGGGGTTAGGGCTGTTTTAAATGCACCGGCTGGACATGACCGTAAACCACTGAACGGACGAGACTAGTTTAGCACGTTTAGAGACAGACGGCAAAGACCCACGCCCACAGGAACATACACGCGCGGCTCATGCACACAACAGCGAATGAGACCTTTCGATGGACATACCATGCTGTGACATGCACTGGGTAAGAGGGAAGGGGTTATGGCTAACCGTCGTATGAGTCGACCAGAGGCAACGAGGCCTTTCTGTCCCCATACCTCCCTCCCTGAGAGAGAAACAAGAAAACAGAAGTGTGGGAAGGGACAGGTGGGAGGCAGAGGGGTGTGGTCAAGAGGAAGAGCATCAGTAAGAGAAACGGTGATTGGTTAATTGTTAGTTCAGCAAGTCTACTGCGGACTTTCATTAGCAGGTTAGGAGGTAGCAATTAGAGTCCGTCTGAGCCCAGACTCAAACTTGAGAAGAGTGGCTGGCTGACTGGGTGAAGACCGCAGACAACCGGATGTGGGTGGTCAGTTTGTGTGGAGAGCAGAGTTAGCAGGGGCAGGTTCCACCCACAGAGCTGGCTGGGCTCCCACTGCGCGTCACCGCGAGAGTGAGGCTTACCGGTATGCCGTCCCTGTCTGCCATGTCGAGAGAGTTGTCCAGGGTGTGCCGCCTCTCCCTCTGATCCAGTGTGGAATATGCATCTGCGGGGAGGCGCGGTTAGCGGAAGCAGGAACAGCGTAAGGAGACACGCAGGACGAGACTGCGCTCCCCCGGGCAGGAGCACAGGAGGACGGGAGCTCACCTGGTCCCATGTCATTCAGAGGAATCATGTCTCTGTCCTTCTTTTCTCCGCCTTTAAAATGCAGACACAAAAAACCCAAACGCTTTACTCAAAGGCACCTGGACAGAGAAACGTGTTTCTGACGGAGGGAACGGCTGAAGGATGTGACAAATCACATTCCTGTGGGCACCGTGGCCTCCATCCCTGGGGAACCACGGGGCCGTTGGGCTTCACGCTGCACCCCTGAAGCCCAGAGTTTACACAGCTTTGGAGCCAGACCCTGAACGAGAGAGAGTCCACCCAGCAAACCATGACTGACTCATGACCCCTAGAGGTCAAAAGCGAGGAGCTCACCTCTATCGATCAGGGGAGTCGTGCTGTCCTCATAGCCCCCGTTGCTGCGGTTGCTGGTGGCGGGGAGGTTGGCGTTCACCATGAAGTCAGTCTTCTTCCAGCCGTCCTTCTCCAGCGTGCGGCGCAGCTCTTTATGCCCCCAGACGATCTGGAGCACCTGCCCAGCTCCACGCACCTCCCTCTCTGATCGGTTACTGCACCAGAAACAACATAGGGTCACACCCCTGATCCATTTCGGCAAAGCATATCGCCCAGACGTCCGCTCGAGACTCGCACCCTGCCTAGGATTTCTTTTTAAAGTGGGGTAGGCATAAGAGGGGCCATAATTTACACAGTGGGGGCCAACCTTTCACAATTAGCCAATGATACGTTTTGAATCAGTGACTGACAGGGGACACTGCGAAGGCCAATCAGCTTTCAGCTGAGGCCTGCGCCCCTGTTCCCCTGCCCATTCCACATTAGCAGACTAGCGATGCCCCGCCACCCCCCTCACCCGTCCTTGTTGATGAGCACGAGGCGCTCGATGCCCTGTGAGGCGCGCAGAGTCTTAGCCGCATCCACACTGGAGCCCAGCACCTCTGCCATCGTGCTCAACACCGACACCACAGTCTCCTCCGACAGCGCACGTGCCGGCTGCTGCTGGCCCCCGCCTGGGAGGTTGGCCACCAGGTGGGGCACGGCGTGCTTCCCTGGGGGGGGAGAGACATCAGGGATTAGGCTGCGGTCTTCTTGCAGTTTTCATGCTTCTAACGGTCATCACAGTTTCAACACGTTTTGATTTTCATTTTTTTTTCTTCATTTGAAATCAGTTAGGTTTTCCAGTGGGGTTTATTAGTTTTTATTTTATAAGATAAGATATAAAAAAACTCAATGGAAATATATTTTAGTAGTAATATTTCTAGGAACAGACCAACACACATTGTGAGGCAGATCTTTACAGAGACATGAATACACAATGCTCCTTATACCCCAACGTCCCCAAAGTGGACAAAACATGTTCCAGATGTTATCAATGGTAAACACCAGCAAATCATTGCATTAGAAAAACGTTTTAAAAACTTAACGAAAAGAATTATACAGTAGTCTCAGAAGCAATAGTCAGAGTTTTCATTTAGTTGTAGTTTTTCCCATCTCTTATTTCAGGTTTCGTTAATGATAATCCTGAAATGAACAAAACTCCGTCATCTCTTTCGGTAATTTCACTTTCTTTCGAACACGTGCCTGTTTCAGAGCCATATCATTCTCGGAGTGTTTACAGAGAACGGGCAAAAGAATGAAATACAATCAATCAGTCTTAACACAGTCACACTTGCTTTCATAACGTTATTTTTTTACTGAGTGTAAATACCGGCAGTGATATAGGGAGGTTACAGCCTAAGACTAAGGCGTGGATGAGGTACAGAACATGGTCCCTGTAAACATCGGGGCCTCGCCCTGCCTCGAGAAAATTGGAACGGCTAGAGAAACAGGCGACACGTTTGCGTCCAAGATGATGTCAGCCTAGGGCCCCCAGGTAAGTTCATGCAGCCCTGGTTCGACCTGCCCCAAAGTTTGACTAACGTGGTTATGTATTCCTCTTTAATTAACGTAGGAAAAGCGACAGGCAAACACCAGCTCACCCAGGAGGTCCCTGTTCCTGCCGTCGATGGCGAGGTTCCTCAAAGCTCCGGACATGGCCCTCACCACGCGGTCGTTCCCATGCGCCAGCAGCTCTGCCATCATGGGCAGGCCCTTCTCCTGGCGCACCATGGCCCGCACATACCTCCCGTACTGCAGAGGGCGATAGAGAGCCTTAGTAACCATATAGCCATCGGACCTAATATCATGGCAACAGAAGTAGTGCGATACATGAAAGGGGGCACTACAGGAAATCGGGTCTTTTTGTATTTAGGTGCACACCCAGGGGCGTCTCTGTCCTGGATGAGAATGTGAGCTGCACACTGCACACTACACCCGTGAGAGTAGGGGGAGGGGGACTCACAGTCCACCGGCCAGCGCAAAGGTTCTGAATGGCCCCCGCGGCCGCTTCCAGCACAGATGGGTTCTTGCTCTCCTTCAACAGGGATGTATAAATCCGTACCACCTCTGGCTGGAACAGCAGCTCGTAGCCTGTGGACAGGTTTGGGGGGGGGGGGGAGACACGTGATAAGATGTCAGTCAGGCTATCAGCTAAACAAGGAAAACGCAGACGCTGAGAACGCGTGATAAAAGGCGTGTTCAAGCTGTCACTTCCTTCCACAGCGCTTCCGATTAAAAGTGTCACCAACAGGAAACAGAGTCCCCCCCCCCCCCCC